GCTGTGACACCGAAACAAACACACCTTTAATGACCACACTTGACCTTAACCTATCCGGATTAAAAAAAAAGAAATTTTTTTTTTGTTTTTTATTGAAGCTCTACTTAATAAAAAAAACATGGGAGGATACCATCCGACTTACTCCGAAAAAAAACGACACAAAAAACGAAACTTCCCTAAAATACGGTCAAAAGTTGTGCATGACTAAAAAAAAGTGTGGACATAACATGTGAGTGATTAGGTGAGGTTACAGACACGTGTTTTGACCGTATAGCTAGACACGACTCAATACTAGACACAAAATTCGAGAAAAAAGACAGACGGGACACTTTCCTGGGCACCGTGTCACGGTGCAGACTGGCGTGACACGGTTCAGCCTACAGTCAGACGGTAGCCTTTACCGTGTCACGGAACTGTTCACCGTGACACGGCAGAAAATGTCGTGACACGGTGCGCAGTTCCAGGTCAGTTTTGTGATTTTTTTCAGATTTTAATCGATTTTAAGTCCGTACTAATTACTATGTGAGAATAAAAACCCCCGGTCATGGGTCAAACAAAAAGAGCAAACACATTAGGGTTAGCACCGAACAAACACATAGCATTTAGGCCCGACGATGTAAAAAAAGTTCGCAACCTAAAGTCAAGATCTATGTTCAACTATTGGTCAAGCTTTGGGTGTCAAAAGGGTACCATGGTTAAGAGTTTGGACGCGTTTGCAAGGCAGCCTCCCTTGAGGGTGTATGCCAACGGGCGGCTCCGCGAGTTTGTGATGAAATCGAACTCGACTCCATGGCTTGGGTGGATTTAATGACTCGGATGAACCCTTATTGCCATGAGCGTTTTTGGGTTTATAGAGCTTAAATCCCCCGGGGCTAAGACGCATGTAGAACACATACGTTTTTTCAGAAAAATCGAAGGAAGTCGACTGTGAGAAAAGAAAATAGGCCACCGGACAGACTTTAGGACTGTCGTGACACAGCAGAAATTCCCGTGTCACGGTACAGGGTACCGTCAGACAGTATACTCTGCCGTGACACGGCAGACTCTGCCGTGACACGGCAGACTCTGCCGTGACACGGCAGTCAGAAAATCTGAATGGTGTCCTATTTGCTTTTGCGCGCAAAAAATACCGATCTTAATTAAATACCGATCACTCAAATCGATAAATAATTAAGAATCCTCCCCAGTGGAGTCGCCAAATTGTAGGCGTCGTTCGAAGTGCGCCTACGTTAAAAGCATGTTGTGAATATGCTTGGCACTCATAGGAAGTGGGAATTGACATTACGATTAGGGACAAATAAAGTAGGGAGCCGCCAACAAGTTTTTAAGGAACTTGTAAACCGTTCACGGATCATAAAAAGGCAACCACGATAAAGGGACAACGAAGGCAACAACGATTGACCCGTGAAGGTTACACCCCATTCATAATCCATGAGATTACTAACTCCATATGGTTCGGAACCACGAAAGGAGGATCGGGGATGATGGTACGAAGTGAGTCATGGAGTCACATTCGCCCGTATTGGCCTCTACTCGATTCTTATAGTGAAAAGCATTCATGTGATCTCAAAGGCATATAAACAATAATTCAATTCGCTCCAAACTATTATTTAACTAAAAAGGATCCTAAACCGGTTGTCCAAATTATCTTATTAGGCGTGATTTTCAATTACATATTTCCTTTAACATGCAATATGGTGATCAATAAAAAATAATAGAATCAATATTAATATAAAAACCAATCTAATCATAATTCCAACAATATAAAATCGTTAGAAAAATAATAATAATAATAAAAAGAGCATGATCCTTACTTTGAATCTGTTTGTTTGCAACTAAAAATAATAAACGAGTTAGTAACTTCAAGGAAATGATAAAACAATAATTAAATTAAATTAAATAAAATAAGGTTGATTTTGGGGCCAAACCCTCAAACGATTCTACCTTTCACGCCTTGGCTTAAGGACAGAACCTCGAATAAAATATGGACTCCTTTGAGTGCTTGAAGAAGGAATTTTGAAGTGAAAAGGGTAGGCTAGTGTTTAGGTTAATAGCATAGAAGAGAGAAAAATAAGAATAATCGAATTCTCGTTGCCCCGTACATCAGAAATGAGGGGGTATTTATAGGGAAATGTGCTAAGGGAGCACACGAAACCCTAAAATGATAAAAACCCTAAGAAAATATCCCGTGATACGGTCAGACTGTACCGTGACACGGTCTGACTGTACCGTTAGACGGTACACTTTCCCGTGACAAGGTCAGTTTTGGAGTGACGCGGGAAATTTTCTGAAAACGGAATGAAAAACGCGTTAAGGGTTTACGCGGAAAGGACACGGAACGTCCCGTGTCACGGCAGACCTCCCGTGACACGGGAAGTCCCACCGTCAGACGGGAAGGGTTCCCGTGACACGGTCAGGCTGTACCGTGACACGGTCAGCTCCAGACCATATTTCCGTCTAAATTCATTTTTAACCCTAATTTCTTTCGGCTTTTTAAGTGCCGATTGATAATTTCGGGCTTTTTTCTGACTTTTATTATTCGGGCTAAAATAAGAAAATAATAAAATAAAAATAAATAAAATATTTGGGCCAAAAATAATAAATAATAAAATAAAAAGGTTTGGGCTTAAAATTAATTAACAAGTTTGGGCTAAAATTAAAACTATGCTTTTACCAAACACCAAGACTGATCCATAGACCTTTCAAAAATAAGAATTTAATAAAATACAATTTTTTAAGCACTCTCGGGATTAAATACTAAACCCGGCCAATAGTGGTGGTGAAAGGCTATTTATCATCGGGTTTGGTTTTGGGGAGACATTTTTAGGTGTCTACAAGTTCATATATGAAACCCAAATCTTTAGCCTTATTCATGTATGACTTACAATTATGCTTTTTGATTCCTTTTATTTTCCCATATTCTTCCAAACACTTACAGTTTGTTTGGATAAAGAAATGGGAAGGAAAAGAAGGGGAGGGAGGAGAAGAGGAGGGGAAGGAAAGGGAGGGGAGGGAAAAATGGTGAGTTTTCCTTCCAAATCTCTCCATTGTTGGAGGGATTAATTTTCTACAATTTAATCCTTCCATTTCTCTCCCCTCCAATTCTCTTTCTTCCTCATTTGCTATCCAAATGAAAGATACTACATCTCTCCATTTCTCTTCCCTTCCTTTCCCTCCATTTCCTTCTATCCAAACATACCGTTAATTTCCTAATACTGTTAATTTAGTTCACGAAGTTTGGTTGTGCGATCAAGTAGTTTGATCTACAAGGTAATCACACGAAACTTTGGACATGTTTGATATTTCATATTATTATGTGTGATATGATTTATTATTTGCACTCTATATTATTATAGTGTGTAAATTTTATAATTGTAATTCGTGTGATCAAGTTCGTATATGTATATGATTGATTATTGGTATTATATGATTTGATTCAGGGGCGGAATAAGGGGGAGGCCTGGGTGGGCCATGGCCAACCCCTTGGCCCAAAAAAGTAGTACTGAAGCCCAAATTATAAAATTAATAAAAAAATAAAAAGAAAGAAGAAAAAAAGCTCATGCATGCAGTTAGGCGGCTGACAGAAATATGAAAGAATCTTTGAATTCTTTTTCCTATAAAATATAGGAAACTAAAAGTACTTGTGCTTCTATATATATATAGGCTTTATAGGGGTTAGTCTAAAAATTTCTAAAGTATATTTTTTTTATTTTTACCTTTTTACCAAATTAAATTAACAATTGTACGGAGTACCTTCAAGCTTCAACCAGTGGCCTATTTCAGGTTCGTCTTTTCTGACTTTTTTTTTCTTTGTTGTAATTTCATTATTTTTTAAAATATGTATTTGGGTTATATAATCATATTAAGTGAGTTAAATTAGATTATAAATTGTATTACTTTGTATAATGTAATTTAATTAGCTGAATATAATCGCATAATTTTATCATAAATTACTATTGTAACTCAACGATATTGTGAATTATTTAGCGTGTAATTGATCAAAATAATATTATTTTTTTCTAGGTTGAAATATGAAAAAAAAAAAACAATTGACTCTTATTTTTCAAAAGCAAAATCTCCTTCCGAATGGAACATTGAAGACCCATCCCCTAATGTGACTGTTGAAACGAATGTTGATGTAAAACCCGAGAATTTTACCCATAATGAACAATCAACAAATGCATTTGCAGCTCAACCTACATTTAATATTGGAAATACAGTTTTGATGCGTGATCCGGCTCTGCATAAGTCAATTAATAGTTACCTTTCAAAGGAGCAGGAAGATATTGTCAATGCATATATACATTACGGGCCTTATCAATTTCACTTAGATCAATACCCTTCAGATCACCCACGTCGATTCCAAACTAATTGGTTTAAGAAATTTCCTCGGCTAGAGTATTCTCCTACAACGGATGCAGCTTATTGTTTTCCATGTTTCCTTTTTCCAAAGGACCCATTAGGAAAATCCGAATCAAATGTTTTCACGGTAAAAGGATTCAGAAATTGGAAAAAGGTTGGGGGTAATGATTTTTCTTTGTTATCTCATATGGGGAAAGATACCAATTCAGCTCATGGATATTCAGCAATATGTTGGTAAAATTTGAAGAAAACTGAAGGTCACATTAATCAAGCATTCAAAAAGCCTAATCCACAATTAATTAAAGATAATCGTTTAAGAATAAAAACTTCAATTAAAGTAGTGTGATGGCTTACATTTCAAAATTGTGCATTTAGAGGACATGATGAAAGTGCAAAGTCGAAAAATCAAGGTAACTTTCTTGAGATGTTAAAACTTTTAGCATCATATAATAAAGATGTATGTAATGTTGTGATGGACAATGCCCCACAAAATGCTAAATATACGTCTCCTGCAATTCAGAAAGTGATTCTACAGGTATTTGCAAACAAAGTGCAAAAATAAATCCGTGAAGAAATTGGTGATTCAAAAGTTTATATTATTGTTGACGAATCTCGAGACATATCTAAAAGAGAAAAAAATGGCTATTGTTTTAAGGTTTTTTGATAGATATGGTCATTTACGAGAGCGGTTTTTTGAGCTAGTACATGTCAAAGATACAACCTCCAAGACTCTTAAAGAAGAAATTTCTGTGGTTTTATCTAACCATGAGTTGAGCATTCAAAATCTTAGAGGGCAAGCCTATGATGGTGCTAGTAATATGAGAGGAGGATGGAATTGTTTAAAGGCTTTGTTCATGGAATAATGTCACTATGCTTATTATGTACATTGTCTAGCACATCAATTACAATTAGCTCTTATTGCTGCAGCAAGGGAAGTAGCCGAGGTTCATGATTTTTTCAAAGATTCAATTTTTATTGTTAACACTGTTAGCTCTTCTTCTAAGCGTTATAATGAGTTACAAGCTAGCCAAATAGCTGAATTGGAGAATTTAATTGAGATTGAGGAGGTTGAAATAAGGAAAGGATTGAATCAAATTAGCACGTTGCAATGTCCTGGGGATACTAGATGGAGCTCTCATTATAAGTCGATTTATAGTCTATTAAAATTGTACAATTCTACTCGCTTAGTCCTTGAAAAAATAGCCATTGATCGTCAGGTATCATATTCTCAACGTGGGGATGCTAATTCTGCTTTTGGTATCATTTGATTTTGTATTTATTTTACACCTTATAGAAGATCTTATGGGATATATAGATGGTCTTTGTCGAGCTTTCCATCATAAATCACAAGACATTTTAAATGCTATGTATTTAGTTGTTGGTATAAAATCCTTGATTCAAAATTTTAGATAATAGTTGGGAATCCCTTTTACAAAAAGTACAATCATTCTGCCTTAAACATGATACTCAAACACTGGATATGTAGGTTCCTTATTCTGATATAATTCGATCTCGACGCAACAAAGACACCATAACAGTGGAGCATCATTATCGGGTGGATGTGTTTAATACAGCTGTAGATCAACAATTGCAAGAGCTAAATAGTCGCTTTAGTGAACGAATAACAGAGCTACTGACTTTAAGTGCATCTTTAAGTCCTATTGATGGATATAAACACTTTAATAAGGAAAATATTTGTCTCCTTGCAGAGAAATACTACCCCGGGGATTTTTCAGAGTATTAAAAATCACATTTGAAGTATCAACTTCAACGATTTTATAGTGATGTTCCTAAGCACCCGTACGTGAAAGACTTGAGTACCATTACTAATTTGTGTAGAAGTTTGGTGGAGAGTAGGAAATCAGTTACTTATCCATTAGTTGATAGATTGATTAGGCTTATTTTGACCCTTCCGGCTAGCACACCAACAACAGAAAGAGCTTTCTCGGCAATGAAAATTGTGAAAACTAGCCTTCGAAATAAGATGGAAGATGACTTTCTTTCTTATTACTTGCTAGTGTATATTGAGAAGGAGATTGCTGTAAAATTTGAAATAAAGTCAGCTATAGATGACTTTTATTCTATGAAACCTAGGAGAGCTCGTGTTAAGTGATTAGTATTTTTTTAATACTTCAAATTTTTATAAACCTTCTTATTTTAATGGTTTGTGTTGACTTCTTTTACCCAATTACATATGCATTTATGACTTGTTGAGGTATGTTTTTTAGGTTATCGATTAGGTCGGCCACCCCTTCCAAATTTTTCTAGGTACGCCACTGATTTGATTAGATATGAGTACCGTATTACTTTTCTTGTTTATTATTGATTATGTTTTATTCTTGGGTTCTAATGTTGTAGTTATAGGGAGTATTGTTTTATCGAGGTTTTAGGGTTGTTAATGCAGAGTATTATTTTTGGGTTGTGAGTTAATTATTTTTGGGTGCTAGTATTATTTTCCTTAAGAGTTGAGATGTTTTTGAATCGAATTATTGTATTATTTGGGAACTTGTGCCATTGTGGAGTTATTACTATTAAATTGTGAATTATTATTTGATCAAGTATGAGATCAAAAGGTTGAGATTATTATTTTGTTCTTGGTTTGAGGCTCGGCGTTATATACCTTAGTCCTTGGCATGTAGGTAATGAGATAATGATCATGAGTTACGAATGAGGTACTATTTTGGGGTTTATTTGTACGTACCCGAGTGGAGGGCGTGTACATCCCGCGGGAGATAGATCCGCAATGCAACACTCAAACGGCCCGATCACCTGCAAAACAACGGACCCCGGGGGGCCGAAGGTCCGCCTCCGACGATCAAGTCAGTGACCGAAATAATGTATTTTAGAGAGAGAAAGTAGAGAGCAGGGAGAGTAATTTTGGAGGGCATTGCCCTTGGAGAGAGAATTGGATCCCCTGAAACTGATGTAATGATCAGTATTTATTGAGCATTGGGATATGTGCCTCTTAGGTTATTTAACCTAAGTAGATTGGCTTCCCACCGTTATACGGTTTCTAGGGTTGTGGGCTTAAAGCTCATGTTCACCCTTTTATCATTGAGTGACACATGTCATGCTCTGATTGGCTCATTGAGCTCTGAGCTTGCGGACACGTGTTGAGGTGGCATTGGTCACATATAGGGGGTATTTTTACCCCCAAACATTAGCCCCTCGGAAGGGGTGATTTCTCTTTCAAGAGGAATTACTCCTTTCGAAATCAAGGCTTTATTTTTCACTTTTTCAAAAGCTCTATGGGCGGCATATGTCTAGTTCAATAAAAGAGAGATTTGATTAACTTGGAAAATTTGATACCTTAAATGGTATGATATTTCTAAGTTAATCAATCATAATAATGATTGCCGCCTGAACTAGACAGATGACGACTTTTATTTCTTTTAGCCCTACTATGGTGGTCATATGACCTTTGGGTGACTTAGAATATTTTTGAGAAGTTTGACATCCTATAAAGCAGGTGGCGAATGGCCGCCTAGGGGCAGGTGGCAAATGGCCGCCTAACTCTTCATAGGACAGGAGGCAAATTGCCGCCTGGGGGCACGAGGCAAATGGTCGCCTGACTCTTCATAGGGAAGGAGGCAAATGGCCACCTAGGGGTAGGAGGCAAATGGCCGCCTAGGGGTAGGAGGCAAATGGTCGCCTGGGGGCAAAAGGCAAATGGTCGCCTGGCTCTTCAAGATAGGAGGCAAATGGCCGCCTGGGGCAGGAGGCAAATGGCCGCCTAGCTCTTCATAGGACAGGAGGCAAATGGTCGCCTGGCTCTTTAGGCCAGGAGGCAAATGGCCACCTAACTCTTCATAGGGCAGGAGGCAAATGGCCGCTTAGGGGCAGTAGGCAAATTTCCGCCTAGCTCTTCAGGACAGGAGGAAAATGGAGGCAAATGGCCGCCTGGCTCTTCATAGGGCAGGATGCAAATGGCCGCCTGGGGGCAGGAGGCAAATGGCCGCCTGGGGGGATGGAGGCAAATGGTCGCCTGGCTCTTCATAGGATAGGAGACAAATGGCCGCCTGACTCTTCATAGGACAGGAGGCAAATGGCCGCCTGGCTCTTCATAGGACAGAAGGCAAATGGCCGCCTGGGGGCAGGAGGCAAATGGCCGCCTGGGGGCAGGAGGCAAATGGCCACCTGGCTCTTCAGGACATGAGGCAAATGGTCGCCTGGGTCTGGAGGAAAATGGCCGCATAGGGTGTTTTTAATCCAATTATACTTTCAATGTCCTTCTACCCCATTGGGAGGACTTGTATAGTTTCGGAAGGTAATCTAGGTTAGAACTTCAGTCGGTCACCGGCTGATGTCTTTTGGACATCCGATTCCCGAAGACTTGGTCATTCTTTAGATTACCCAGGTCAGGCGGCTATGAGTTGACCAATGAGGTCGTTCAATTTTTGCTGCCTACATGCGTACGTAAAGCAAACGATAGAGTGCTTTCTGCGATGATTGCAGCCAGAGGGGTGTCTCCATACGCCATATTTCACATTGGAGCAGACGAATTTACAAAAATGTATAACCATCCGGCCATTAGCCTCATGTTTTTTTCAAGACGGTTTTATAGCCATTGCACAACTCTTTTTTCTCCAATGGGAGAGTCTGTGCAATTTTGGAATGAAAAGCCTAAGTAAGTACTTCGGTAGGTCACTGACTGATGTCTTAGGACATCCGGTGTTCCAAAAACTTAGTCGTTCTTTAGACTGTTCTGGTCAGACGGTTATGAGTTGACCAATTTGGTCGTTCAATCTTTGTCGTTTGCATAGGTACGTAGAGCAAGCAGGTAGGCTGCTCTCTGCGTCGATCGCACCCGGAGGAGCGTTGCCGGACGCCATTGTCCATGTTGGGACAGGCGATTTTATGAAAAAAGCAACCATCCGTCCATTGGCCTCTGGTCTAGGTTGAGACCGGCTGTATAGCCACTAAGCGGTTTTGTGCCTAGTTTAGTTATCTGGCCATTGGCCGCATGTTACTTAGACGTTGAATTTGCTACTAAGTTTCAAACTTAGTTTATTATCCGGCCATTGGCCTCACGTCACTTGGACGTTAGTTTAGCTACTAAGTTTCAAACTTAGTTTATTATCTGGCCATTGGCCTCACGCCACTTGGACGTTAGTTTATCTACTAAGTTTCAAACTTAGTTTAATATTGGAGTTTGGACGGTCCGTCAGATTATATTGAAATTCAAATAATGAATCAATAATAACAATAATAATGAAGACTATTATTACTATCTTAATGCATTAATATCATTGGAGGGAATCAAATCAAATCATATTGTTACCTCCATTATTCAACCGGAATTAATTGATGAACAAAGCAATCACTGCAGCTGGTCCTTTTTGAGGCATAATGCAGCCCCACAGCCGTTTAGGCACAGCCGGCTTCAATGTCGTTTGTCCGCTTCAAGAAAACTCCAAGCAATCTATTGAGTGAGCTGTATTTATTCTCATCATATAACAACAAGTGCTACACATGACAGCAGATTGTTGTCAAAGTGCCGTATGTGGCTTGTAATCTTTAAATATGATACACATGTATATTATATACTAAGTGCTGCATTCTTTTTTTTTCTTCCTCCAAAATGATCATGTAGTTAGGCGGCCTTTTCCACCTAAATGATCAGGTTTTTTTTTTTTAAATCATAATAATGATCTGCAATTTTGCATGGTAGCAGTGGCGGACTGGGCCTTGTGCCTGGTGGGTCAAATGACTCACCAGGGCCCAAAAAAAATTTTAAGTTTTTTTTTTTAAAAAAAAAATAAAAATAAAATTTCTAACTTCTGAGTTAGCCCTAGCCCACTTCGCCAGTTCGCCTCTTCCTCAGTTCCTCTTCGCTTCATCTTCCTCTTCGCATAATCGCATCTTCCTCAGTTCCTCTTCGCTTCATCTTCCTCTTCGCTGGGTTGCTGAATAGCACTTGCTGTGATTCTTTTGTAAGTTTCTAGGTTTTTATTTAATTTTCTCCTTGTGTATATATGATTGGGTGAGTAATTATAGATTTATCTATTCAGCTATTCTTTGGGCTAATTGGTTCTCAATTTTCTTAATGGGGGAAATTGAGGGGTAGTCGAACACTATCTTTTATGATGTAATTATTTTCCAAGCTTTAACATTTGTTTTTCTAATTAATGATCACACGGATCTAATTTGACATATGGCAGATTCTTAATCTTATCTTTGCAGTCTAATAGTTGATGATGATTGGTATAATGGCTTTTTATAATGTTAATCTTATTCTAGTTTATTGCGGTTTATAAGAAAATCTATACTTTTTTTTTTCAACATTCTAGGCTCTGACCATTATCATGTCGCTGGAATTACTTTTGCTAATGTAGACAACTGATAAACACAAATTCCATTCATGTTTGTTATTTTTACATTACTATATCTTGAGATATACACCCGGGTGTTTAATCGGATTTTCTACGGGTAAATCCTAGTTATTTATTGGAGGAAAACAATCTCTATCCATGGTATTAGAAGTTCCTAGTTTGTTTGATTAGCCGCTTTTGTGTGTAGGGATATGGGGATAGAGAGAGAGCAGAGTAGCACATCCGAAGCCGAAAGAGAGGAAAAAAGAATTGTGATGCTGGCATGGAGCGATGAACGCTTGCCTTCGGAAAGACTACAAGGTGGTACTCAATTATATCACACTCGTGCAGAATTTCACTCGGTGGATCTGAAGCACAATATATTAACTCGTTCTTGCTTTCCTTCAATTATCATGGCTAAGTTCTTTTCATCTGCCATGGTGTCATCTTTGAATAAATTTATCTACTTAGTGGGAGTGGGAGGAGCGCGATTATCTGTCGTCCAATCATCTAATGAGTCTTCCTCTTCCAACCACACATTCTACTCCGGCGGTTCATGTCTTGACATGTCTGATGAGGCTCCAGTGTGGTGTCCAGCTCCTGTCTTCTTTGAGGATAACACTTCTCCCAACTATGTTAGCTTTCTTGGCAATATTTACAACTTTGGATCTGTTTGCCTTGCGCCCCAGGTTCTTGAATGTGGTGCCCTTGGCCACTGTAAGTCAATTCGCTCTCTCCCTATCCCTCAAAGCCTTGCTGGTTGTAGTGTGTCTGTTCCTGTACTTCCCGACCCTTCCAACAAACGCATTCTTATGCGCCTCTATGGTGGTCCCCTTTCGTCGCCTTCCCTCTATGCTTTCACTCCCGATCCTTGTGCTGATGCTATTGGGACATGGGAATGTCTCACCTCTGATTTCCATCTTTGGGCTCATGCTGCTGCTGTTGTTAATGGGGTCATATATTTTCACTGCCATAAAGTTCCATCTCTTCTTTGTGCTTTTCATATAACCAAGAAAATATGGTTGAAAGTCTGGTGGGATTCGTGCTTTAAGGACAATGTTAATATGAATGCCGAAACTTTTAATTTCGATGCAATGCTTCATTTGGGCCACAATATTTTGTGCTTTGCTGGTTGGACACCAATATATTCCCGGACTGCTGTTTTTACCATCGAAGTCATATTTTACAAGTTCCAAGTGTTGGTCACCGGTGAAACTGTAACCGTCAAGGTCTGTGACTCCTACTCATATGAACTTCCGGGAAGTACCAATGTGTTTCATTTCCTCCCCATTTAGCAGGTACTCTTCTCCATCTAACCATCTCTTATTCTTGCTATTATTCTGTTACTTACTATCAAGGTATTTTACTGCCTCTTTTAATGTGGATTCGATTTATAATGCTAAATTTGTTCATCAACTTAGTTGTAAGAGGCATTGTTGGATAAATTTTCATTCCCAAAAATTTGGTTGTTTGGTAAAAATTTTTTTTACATATTTGGTTATCGATTGTGACTCACCAGTCGGAAATTCCTGGGTCCGCCACTGCATGGTAGCCCAAATAGCTTCACGCACAAAAGCTGCTTAAGGGGTGATACACCCGTTAATTCTTCATCACATGGTCATCCGGGCACCAAATACCGGTTGCCCCTTGATAATCACCATGTTATGATATAATCATCATGTTACAACAATCATCAAGTTCCGGCTGACATCAACAACTAATAATTTTTATGCCGCTTGTGCTCATTCTCAAATGATGAGCCATCATGATCAGGTGACGGCTGCCGCTTATGTTAATAAAACAATCAAGCAAGCCGGCTTTGAGGTCAAACAAGACATCCATGGCAGCCAGTTTAATTGGTGAATAATTGATGAATATTGCAGCCACTTATGGCCAACTTCGAGAATGAACCAAGCGGCCATTGCAGCCGTTCTCGAGGCTGAATGCAGCAGCCCCTAGAGCCGGCTTTGATTAATGAACAAAGTATCCGTGGCAGCCGGTTTGGAGTCAGCTCATCCTCAATGAGCCAATGCCGCGGCCGGGTTAACAACATTGATGATTTTACTCGCTTGACCCTATTGATACTCACAGCCATTTGTCGTTTACCCACCTAAAATCGAATGCAGGCGGGCTAACAATATTGATAATGCTGACCGGCTGCCCGGCTGATACATTTGATGATGGTAATAACGGAGTAGCTCTTCCTTTTTTCCACCGAAGTTATATAAACATACAAACTGGTAGAATTGTCTCATGAAAGCTCAAGCAAGCTTCCAAAATGCATGTGGTATTATTCTCATGCATGAATATGTAAAGCTTGTTATAATAGAAGATTGCCACCTAATGCTCTCAAAAGGAGCTTTGTCTTATGACAAGCCTTTTGCTTTAATGTCAGACGGTGATAAGGTCGGCTGGCTAATACTTTGCCTTTATGTCGTTTGGGTATAACAATCAAGCTTAATCATATGGCCCGCCTTACTAATCAAACGATCAAAATTTCTTTTTTTTATATCATAATAATGATGAATATAGTAGCATTGCAGCCGGACTTAATTGATGAGCAAGGATGCCCCTACAGCCGGGATTAATTGTCGAGCAAAGCTGGCCCTACAGCCGGCTTATTTGACGAGCAAAGCTGCCTAAATAATTGGTGAGCAGAGATGCCCCTACTGCCACCATGGATAGTGATCACCTGCTGACAACATTGGGGCAAAGCTGCCCCATGCCGCCTGCATAACAGTTGAGTTGGACTGACTACGGGTGCGTGCCGCTTGTGTATGCTAACACAAGAAAAAGGCTTGGCTGCTTGTGTATGTTAACACATGAAAATAATTCGGCCGCTTGTGTATGTTAACACAAGAAAATAGCTCGGCCGCTTGTAGATGCGGGGTTGCAAGCTTGCATGACCGGCTGTACGCACTTGTAGCTCAATGCCAGCTTGTTGATTACATAGGCTGCCAGGCCGGTTGTAGTACTTGTGTAAAACACCACCCGTATGTATATTATTGTTACTCATAAGAATAACTAAAGACAACCTCATTATAATAACAGCGGAGTAGCTCAATGGTGTCGCTTGATCGATCGGTCTAGGTGCCGGTAGTTAATACCGTTTGAGTCGGCTATAGAGTCGCTTGCATTTTTTGCACTTACCCACACATGCGACACTCGCCAACTTCATGATCATCCGGCCATCAAGTGCCGTCTGACCCTATTGGTAACAATAACACACATAGCAGCTTCCACACATGAACCCATTCGGCTCGGCATTAGAGCCGCTTGTGTACTGCTGGGCATGGATACCGTCTGATCATTGTACGATTGTACCCCCAAGAATTCTCTTGAATTATTGCCGGTTGGGATAGTGATGCTCCACTTTGATGAAAGACTGGCTTTTGATCTCACATAAATGCTCATATACTACATACGGCTTTTCATATATCTATATATATGAGTATTTCCATGTGAGCTTCAATGTAATATAGTATTAAATACCGTCTGAGTCGACTATAGAACCGCTTGTGTATGCTAACACAAGAAATAAGCTAGGCCGTCTAGGTAGCTCAACAGCTGGTCCTAGAGGCCATTTGTCTCCTAGTTGCCGACTTGTCGTATGCATTAATAGCATGTAGCACTGGGTGTATTGAGCAATGTTGAATGAATGTGCCGCATGACACTCATAGGCGAATTTAAATGATGTATGACCATGGAGCTTACTTTTAACGTGATGAATATACAAGCTGCTCATGAAAGTGTATAATAGAACGTTGCCGCCTATGCTATTTTAATGCATAACGACTCAAGTGTAGCTTATGAAATCTAATAAATCAAACTTGCTAGTTGTCAAAAACTTGGGAGTGTGGAAATGTATGAATATACTTGCCGCATGCATGTATCCCACTAATTACAATAGTTTACTATTGAAATCAATTGTAAAATATTATGTATATAATAAAACAATTGTTAATATTCATGTACATATATATATTTGTTAATATATATGATGTTGATAGTATCAAACTATCTGTTTCGGGGTTTTCTTATGTCCTGCGGGAGAGTTACAATTCCGAGACTGGAACCGGACGCCTGTACCTGCAAAACAACGGAGACTCCTGGTGGTGGGAGCTCCGCCTCCAACGGTCAAGTTAGTACTTGATTAAGGAGTAATTAATGCGGAAATTAAAGTGAGTGGGTCTCTCTAGGTGAGAGTGTTTAATGTAGGTAATCTGCTTTGTTAGCGTGATCAGCCTGTTATTCGTGTGTAATCAACGTGTTGTTAATGTGTGTTCCCCCTTAATGAGGATTAAGGGAGGTATTTATAACCTTGGGAAACGTGCCAATCCTAGGTTTAGGTTAACCTAGGGCTGATTGGGCTTCCCTCGGAAGTTGGGCCTGGGTGGCCTGGTTTCTCCATTAGGCATGGAGTATGCCACGTGTCATGACATAATAGGTCCAAGGTGGACGAATGAGCGCGGGCCACGTGGCAAGCCCTGACAGTTCCAACTGGGGGACACTTGGCAGGACCTGATTGGCCCACGTGGCGCATTCCGATTGGTGGGAGCAAAATCCCCTAATCATTTGCCCCTCACAGGTGGCACGTGACCGGTCACGTGTTACCTGTGACAGGTGTCGCACTGTAACAGGCGACGGCCTGCTACAGGTGTAAGTCGGCGAAAGGCCGAGAGATTTTCCCGCCCAAATTTTGAATTCTGAAAGTGACCCTTTGCCTTCTCACTTCGCCTATATAAGGGAGTGTTGAATTCGGTCATTTTCACACTTGAGAACTTTTTGAGAACATTCGGACCCCTGAACTTGCTCTGACATTTTGGACCCTTTCTGCCTACCGCCTGTTCTGACAAGCCGACTGCAAAGGATTTTCAGAACTTCCTCAACCGTCACTCGTTCAGGTAACTGTCGGTTCTCTTACTCTTAATTTTCTTTTTATTCTTTTTTGAAATGGCACCACGGAAGCACACGACACGACCTAGGTTAGTGATCAGCCGGTCACCGGGGACGGCTGAATCTAGGACTAGGAGTGCCGCCTGCCCTTTTCCGGACCCATCTTTGCCCTTTATAAAAAGTCCGACTGTATCTGTGTCTATGCAGAGCAGGATGGCCAGAACAAAAAAGACTGCTAGGATCTCAAATTCAGACGGCTCCTCCCACAGGGTGCCGATTAGTGAAACATCTGACCAGGCGCCAGATGTGGAAGTTAAACAAGGCGGCTTGAAAGCCGGCAATTCTGAGGGAGGATTCATAGTGACCCCTTCCCATTTTACAGTTAACAATTCTGCTCCTTTTCAAGGAGAGGAGGAGGGCCCCTCCGGGAGAGGGGAGGAGTCGTCCTCTACGGACTCGTCAGAGGACGATTCTGAGTCTAGCTCTTCTGGCCGTGCTTCTCTGGACACAGAAGAGAAAAACAGTCGCCTGCAAGAGGCGAGGCTTTCTCACGCAGTTGAGAAGGGGGGCAATTGGGCGGAGCCATCCGCCTCTTACCGAGAGCAAAATACCCCCTACTACTGCACGGTACCTCGGGGCCGGATCACAGCCATGCAAGAGAAAGTGGAGAGCTTTATCGCAAACCACACAATGGGCCCCGACTTTTTAGTGTTTGTGCCGGATCCAGAAGACACAATCGTCTGGCCGGCTGGTACCAGTTATGATAGCGCCTGCTTTGGCTGCTACGAGGCGGCCATCAAGGCTGGGCTGCGCTTCCCATTACATCCGGCTGTTCAGCGGATCTTGGATGGGTATGAGTTGGGGTTATGGCAGTTAGCCCCGAACTCCTGGGTCAATGTACTCGGCTATGTGGCCGGGTGCGAACTGCACGGGGTGGAGCCGAACTTCGAGGCTTTCGCCCACATGAACTACCTCAGCCGTACCCCTAAGGCAGGCGGTACCGGCTGGTATCAATTGACGAGCTACAGGGGCTACCTCATGACGAGAGGTAAAGCAAACAAATGGAAGGACTGGCGGAGCACCTTCCTCATCATTGAGAGTTCAGACACAGAGCTGAACAAGCGCTTCAATAGGTGGAACAGGAATCCGCCCCTTCTTGCAGGTGGCCGCAGCATGCCGCCTGTTCCCCCCAAGGCTAAGAAAGAGATCCTAGATAAAGGACTCTTTAAAGTAGAGTCGAGGGTCGACTCTACTTCAGGGGTACGAGAGAAAGTACCCCTGCACTGCGTCCCGAGCTTCAAATGGCTCTACGACGAGTACTTTTTGGCCGCCTGTGGCCTCAGCAGTCGGTGCTCAAGAGGTAGTCGGCCTGTCGAATACTCTGCTGTTCCGTGCATTTTTG